TTAATTGGCTTTAATTCAAATTATACACTTAATTAATCAAAAATTTAATATTAATATATTATAGTATATTAAAGATTTTTATATGGTGTAGTTTATATGTAATAAGTATAATTGTATATTTATTTAATTAGGTTATTGTAAAAATTTAACCTTTTCCATTTTATTTTTTATATGTAAAATTACAAGAGACCCCCTATCCTTCATATATATTTCATTTCAGTCTAGGTTCCAAAATAGGGTACCCGCTGCAGGTTCCAAGCCGGGTACATACTGCAAGTTCTTTTTTCAAGTTCTGGCTCCTCCACATGTAGGAACTAGAACTGGAACCGCACAGTATCGACTCCAAAAAAATGGAACCGGAACCTATCCGCACAGTGTCGGTTCCAATTCCGATTCCGGTTCCAGTTCTACCCGTGCTCACCCCTAGTTTTATTTCGTTCGCTCATATGAGTAAAGCTCAAGTCAAAATGCTCTAATGATTATAGTAAAATATTAAATATTTCATAGAAATATCATAAATCCCTTGTAAATATCAAAACCCCCCTAAGGATAAAGGCATTTAATTTTTTTTCGATAATTATTGTTAGGGTGTTCAAAAAAATGCAGAAACCAAATCGAATCGGTAACCAAACCAATTTTCTGGTTATCCGGAAAATCAGTTCAGTTTGGTTCAAAGAAATACAAAAATTGATTTTTTGGTTCGGTTATCGGTTTATGAGAATATGGAAACTGGTTAACCGAAATCGGTTTATTATAAAAATATCTAAAAAAATCTGGTTTATTATAAAAATATTAAATTAAAACTGATTCAAAACCGATTAATAGATTTTTCCCTTAACTGGTTTAGTTTCGGTTCAGGAAAATTTTTGAATCGAAAAACCGGTTTGGTTCACAAAATCGGTTAACCGGTTTTGAACACCCCTAATTACTATGACATTTTTTGACTTAAGCATTACTATGGGAGCATATGAAATTAGCCCTTCTACTTTCCAAAAGCATAATTGACTACCTAAAATTGGGATTAAGATTACACGATGAAAGGGGCATATATTTTAGGAATTTCCAATTACCTCTTCTAAGAAGTTATTAATTTTTCAAAGCATAACTTCAATCATTGTCAAAATTGTGATGGACTGATCCACGTTGGTCTTTCTTCTATTTTTTTGGGTCTTGATTATATCAGTATATATGCTAAAATCCTCAGCCGTTGATATTTATATTTGTTTGCAATAATACTAGATGTATAAACAAATCTTACAAAGATTTGTATATTTATATTTGTTTGCAATAATACTAGATGTATAAACAAATCTTACAAAGATTTGTGTATAAACTGATGTGACAAAAAATGAATGAAAGAGTGAATACAAAAAGTCAAATTCATCAAATTCACTCCTTCATTCATTTTGTGCCATATCAGGGTTTGTTTTTACATGTAGTATTACTCATTTGTTTGATAATTATATTCAATAAATATAGGCTTACAAACGCGATGTGATAGCTCGCATTTGATCAGGTGAGACCCATTGTTGGGAGATGAAATCCATTGCAAGTTGACACATTGCATTTGTAGGAGAAAGTGTTTGTCAGCATACTATTACTCGATTGTATTTGATGTATAGACTAACACATGCCAATTTTGATAATCTCAATGGTGTTGGAGATAACTCTAAAAGATAAGTTATTGTTTTTGTTGATGCTGGATTTTGACACCAACTATTCGCACGTGAGAAATGCTAAAGAGAATTAGAAGTCACACGTGATATGAGGGTATTGAATTTAATAAAGGGTGAAAGGCGATGTTTAAAGTGGTTCGGATGTTCAAAAGCGAATCCTACGTACACTGATATTGTATTAATGAAAGTAATGTCAGGTCGCGTTAAGCGAGCTGAGTTATAGCTTAAAGAATACAAGAGAGAGAGAGAGAGTAAATAAGCTATGCTGAAGTAAAATTAGCTAATCCCTGCAAATGAGAGAGAATGTCTCTATTTATAGTGGGGTAAACCAAGGTAATGATTACTAAATCTGCAAGTGGGTAGATACCCTGTAAATTCTTCTCTGCGTCCCATTGCTCACCTATCCAAGTGATTTCCTCGACTTATGCAAAGATTGGATACGTGAATGATCCCCAACTGCTGACTGGCATGACACCCACCTGCTATACTGACATGAGCCATACCACTTGTGCTAGGTGCGATGTGGCCGCACTTGGACGGCACAGAACCTCTTTGAGCTCTGACCATCATTTACTAATGAGACTCCACATCAGCCCTACCTGTTAGGCATAACAGTTTTTTAGATTTTTCAAAATTTTTTTTTTTTCTGAAAAATAATTCTAAAGTGAATGTGTTAAAAATATAACCCTATCCTCTCGACGATACAGTACTTTGAGGCCTAAAACAAAATAACTTCTTATTGTTCATATATATTTTAACTTTCCTCTATAAAGAATCAAATACAAGAACGTGGAAACATTTTAAAAGGCAGGGACAAAAGAAATGACTTTTTTAAAAAAAAAAGTTTTCTAGGATCAATTCTATGGGCCAATTCTGAATCCAGGAGTTTCCCCTTTTCAATGGTGGATTTTCTAAAGCTAAAAACTATATAAAATAAGCTTACAAATATCATTACAACTTCCCTTCTATAGTAATATCTATTATAAAATAACATTGTTGAAATCATTAATATATCAATATATGTTACTTGATTAAACAAGTTGCTACAATTATTAAAGTGTATTATAGACCGACACTTTTTAATCAATCAAAAGTTTCAAAAAAGAACCTTTTGAATTAAAGCATCTTTTAAGTTAAAAATTCCTAGCTTTTTATCTCAATGAAATATAATATTAATAAATTGAGTATATTTTAACCAGAGGTGGGGTCTGGGTACCTGTCCAATTTCAAAGGAACCGAAACAGGAATAGGCCGATTCCTAGCTTTTGGAACCCGAACCGGAACTGTCGGTTCCGGTTCCTTAATTCCTGGAACCCCCCTACTATTTAAAAAAATGACAAACATACCTGTAAAAATTACAATACACCCCCAAAATTAAAATTACATATAATTGTTTTCTCTCTCCTCCCTCGTTATTTCCTCTAATTCTCCTAATCAACTCTTCTCTCACTTGGACTCTACCAGACTACCACACGACCTGCACCATTTGCGATCTGAAGCTGCAAATTAATGGAGCTCCCAAGTTCTCAAGTGGAGTGTGCAGAGAATGAGAACAATACTACTACTCCTCAAGTCAATACTTAATACTAACTGCAAGCCATTTACTGAGCAAAAGCAAGAATTACAAAATGTAATTAATAAGTGGAGGTGAAGCTATCAACGCAATCTCTTTTTAAGTAACTTTTCTTAAGTGTAAGTACTCAATTGGTCAGTGAAAGATAAGGGTTATCTGAAAATCTGCTATATTTGCTACTATTTACTCACATGAAGTTGCTGTAGATAATTTTATTTTTCTTTTTAATTTCTTGATTATCAATTAGCATTCCTGCTTTAATTTACAGAAGCTTTAGCTCTACCTTTTCCTCACCACCATCACCATCTCAAACACCTCCAACACTTCCTCCTCAAACACCTAGATCGGCCGGCTCCCTCTTTCTTCACTTTGCCTTTTTCCCAATATTAAAATTACATATAATACCTTTTTTTCTCAGGTTGTATGGTTGATTTTGCTGGTTTGGATGTATTTGGGTGCATATTTTTGCAAGTTGATTTTGCTGGTTTGAATGTATTTGGGTGTATTTGTCTGCAGGTTGTATGCTTGACTTGATTTTTTTTCGTTTTGATGTGGTTTGTAGTTAAGAGATCTGGATTTTTGGTACTGTGAATGTGATTTGGTTTGCGATGTTTGATTTCATTTTCATTAGTCCCGGTGGCGCTTTCTTTTCCGTCTCTTCTTCTTCTCTTTGTTCCGGTTCCGGGTCTCAGTTCCTACAAGGATGGAACCGTAACTAGAACCATGCAGTATTGGTTCCGGGTTTTTGAAACCGAAATCGACCCTATGGTGGTCGATTTAGGGTACGAACTAGAACCAAAACCTAGGTACGTCGGTTTGGGTTCTACCCTACGTTTTTTCGCTCACCCCTAATTTTAACGATGAAACAACAAAATCTTAAAAGTTTAAAGTAAATTTAGATTATGAAAAAAAAGTAATGTTTTAACATAGAATATAATAAAGAAGCCCAAGAGGGCTCGGTGTGCGCGGCCACGCCAGGTTTGGGTAAAAAAAACTCACTTTTTAAAAGCCAAGTAAGAGTAGAGAGAGTCTAACTACATATATATACCATCACAACCTATTAAATTGACGATATATAATTTGTTTACGTGTATTTTAACTAATCTTTCGAGACACTGAAGTTAACGACAGGGTAAATCTCTTTAATGGTCACCCTTATTAAGGTCTGTGAAGACTCAAACTTAAACTCAAAAACTCCTGTTGGACCCCTTTGTTCTTTTACTATCACACTACCTAGTGGTGGTTTCTTCTATTGCATCAGATAATTCTTGTTCATATTTGAACTTTATATAAAATGTAAAATGAATCATATTCTATCAAGCATGTCTGCACACAAAAAGCTTAATTTTGAGAGATTGAAATTCACATAATTGCAGCCATTTCTGTTGGTAAATTCTGATTCCATTTTTCTACCAAGAAAGTAAAAGAGAATAAATAAAAATTCTCATTTGGTCACACTTTAGAATAAATTCTATCTTTGCTTTGTCCCTCCTTTACTATTTGAGCTTAGCTTGATACAAAGAACTGAGATATGAACTCTTTTCTCTGTCCATCAGTTTCTGATGATGAAGATGCGTAGAGAAAATCATGGTCGACAGCTGAGACTTCCACTGACTAAATCGTCATGGAAAAATTTGTATTTGGCGTTGTTTAGAAGCGAATCAATTACACATGGAATTATAACAAGACAGACTGCTTCAAATTTGCATCGCTTTGTTATTCATCCACATAATCGGTTAGCAAATCTTTCGATGCTTCGCCGTCTTTATTATTATTTTTCTTTTGTGATCGGGGGTGTCCAAACCAGTTTGCGCGTACCTCAACTAATCTTTCGAGACTCTAAAGTTGACAATCGAATAACCATCGTTACCATTGCTATTCGTTCTTCTGAAATTTTGATTCGACGAACATGCAGGTGGTATTTGGCATGGAAGCTTTTCATAGTGATAAACGCAGCATACTCTTCTTTCTTCACCGCATTAGAATTTGGATTCTATCGAGGGCTGCCGGAGAAGCTCTTCGTACTCGATATCGCGAACCAGATTGCTTTCCTAGTCGATATAGTTGTTCATTTTTTTGTTGCATATCTTGACACTAAATCCTACCGGATGGTCTATAGTCACAATCTCATTGCACTAAGGTGATGATCTGATCTCTTACCCAATTTCATGCATATATACAAATAATTTTGATAATTTTCTTACTGTTTCTTTTCTTAATTATAGGTACTTGAAATCTCGATTTTTTGTTGACTTCCTCGGATGCCTGCCGTGGGATGCCATCTACAAGGTACCATTATGATTTTATTTTATTTTTTCCGATGTTTTATGTGATATTTATATATTAATGTTTGATGGTCGTTACCTAAAAACTTAAATTTTTAGGTCAAATAGTATACCTAATATAGTATTAGAGATAAACTCATAGGTTTCAGTGATACATCTTGTTTCTCCTTTATCACTCTCTTGAGGGTCTAACCTATCTTTCGGTGTATCGGTTATTTCCATGTAAACCCTATACATCTTGTTTCTCCTTTATCTCTCTCTTAAGGGTCTAACCTATCTTTCAGTGTATCGGTTATTTCCGTATAAAAGGGTTTATGAAGGCTTGTTAAACTTAAATATTTATGGTTGAATTTTTTTTTTTTTTTTTTTTTGGGTATTCGGGGTTATCTAGGCCAGCTTGTGAGCATCTTAACTAGTCTCTCAAGGCCCTGAAGTTAACGGTTAGGTAAATTTCAAGTGGTTATCCTTTATTAGTAATCATAGGGATTCGAACTCAGGACATTTTCTGTAATATATCCAAATGTCCCAAGCGACAAACTACCTAGAGGTAGTTTATGGTTGGAATTAACTTTACCTATAAACGTATACCATCGAGTCAAGTCATTACTTAATAGCTTTTATTTATAATTTTTTGAATTAACAAAATTTTGAATTAAGCTTAACACTTTGATTAATTGTGAATATGACAGGTTAGTGGGAGAAAAGAGGCAGTGAGGTATTTAGTATGGATTAGGTTAAGCAGGATAACCAGAGTGACAGAATTTTTTGCCAGGCTAGAGAAAGACATCAGAATTAATTATCTATTTATAAGAATAATAAAACTATTGGTAGTTGAGCTCTACTGCACACATACAGCTGCTTGTATTTTTTACTATCTAGCCACCACTGTGCCTCCCTCCAATGAAGGTTACACTTGGATTGGAAGCTTGAAAATGGGTGACTTTTCTTACTCTAACTTCAGAGAAATTGATCTATGGAAGCGTTATACTACATCCCTATACTTCGCCATTGTTACCATGGCTACTGTTGGTAATTAATCTTCCATCTCTTTTATATGTTCGATTCATTATGGTGAATTATTGTTGTATATAAATACTTAGCGGCTTTCTGGGATTGTATACCGTCGAAAATTCTTAAGGTTGGGTGTCTTTATTTTTTTTAATATACTAACAAAGTTTTCTCACAAATTTGGTTCAAAATTATAAAAAATCAAGTCTTTTGTATTAAATAGTCTATAGTACCACAGTGCTATTGTTGATGTAATACTACAAGTCAGTTAATGTTTAGTAAAGTAATTATTACATTTAATAACTACTGATCACAATTAATCTAAAGATAGATGAGAGAGTAAAAACCAGTGATTGGGAACCCGGCCCGACCTGACCCGACTAGACGTTGAACTGGTTCAACTGTGCCCTGTCGCTTTCAACGAGTCGAGTTACAAATTTTTTTATTCATTCAAAACCCTAGAAATTAGGACATCAATCCGTAAACAATTGAAGGCTGAAATGTTAAGGCTTTTGACGAGGAATGGTGGCAAGGACATTGATTTTCGGTGAGTGAATTGACCAGAAATTGCAAAACAATGTCGCCGGAAAAAGCCCATTGTTGTTGATGATTGGGGAGGCGAACAACAGAAGGGTGAGATGAGTTTTGGTCAGGAGACTGAGGGGAGTGTTTTTGTGGTGATGGGGAGTGTTGTCGTCTTTGGAAACATATCCTATTTACCAATGCTGACGGTGGTGTTTAGGGTGTTTTTGCAAGATTTCAAACTATGGGGACTTACAAAATTTTTAGGGGTGGTTTTGTTAGATTTCAAACCTCTAGACACTGGTTTGACCCTCCGGTCAAACCAGTTAAACCGCTCGATCTGTGACCCGGTGGCCTGGCCGGGTCACTGGAAAAGGTTATTTTTTTTTTGGCCCAATTCTTTGTTAAAATTAAACTTTGACCCCTAAGCAAAATTTCTTACTCCGACGCCAAGCCTGAGGTAGCATAATGTAATCTATCGAGTGTACTTCTATACTAAACCATAGCTAATATTCGTGTATCAGATCATGTTCCGGAATTAACGTGCTGATTATTATGTGATAAATGCAGGCTATGGAGATATACATGCAGTGAATGCAAGAGAAATGATATTCATAATGATTTTTGTCTCCTTCGACATGCTTCTTGGTGCTTATTTGCTTGGCAACATGACTGCATTGGTAGTAAAAGGATCAAACACAGAAAGGCTCAGAGACAAAATGACTGATATTATCAAATATATGAACAGAAACAATCTCGGAAACCAGTTAAGTAATAGAATTAAAGATCATTTGAGACTACTTTACGATAGCCACCGCGATCACGAGTCTCAAGTTCTTCAGGATATTCCACCCTCAATTCGCACAAAGGTCGTAATTCTCAGATTTTCATTATAATTTTCCACCTATTTTTGAGCTTTTATCGTATAGTTATTTATTTTCTTTTGTTGCAGATCTCGTATAAATTATATGAACCGTGCATTAAGGATACATCTATTTTCAGAGGCTGCTCTTCGGGGTTCATTAAGCAGATTGTAAGCTAAAATCTAGACTATCACAGGATACTACAATAATCGAATTCGTAATAGAATTCTGGTGAGGTGTCTTATCCAATTTTTTTTTTTTTTTTTTTTTTTTTGGATTTATCAGGCAATTAAAGTCCATGAAGAAATTTTTCTCCCAGGGGAAGTGGTTATAGAACGAGGAAATATAACAGATCAATTATATATTTTCTACCATG